CACTGCTGAGAAGGAACAATGAGACCCAGATGTCAGGATCTGAAAACACAGGAGCTCAAAGCTGGCAAAGCATAGTAGTAAACACAATCAGGGCTAGGTGAGCCACGGGAAGTAGGGGAAGCATGAAGGGAAGGATTTGAAACAGGGTAACCTCACGAAGATGGGAGTCCAATTAACTTGCAGCGAAATCAAAACTGGACCAAGGGAGGGAGAAAGATGGGGGAGGAGAGTGCAGAGCATGCCAATGTGATCCTGATCAACTTCTTTGTGGTACAATGAATGACAGAACACATGTTTGCATGAATGAAATTAACCTCGCAATTAAACTCAGACATTAATTCACTGGGAGGTGTCCCAGGGACAGACATGAGGACTATGCTTTAGAATCATAATCCAAAACACAGCATTTACTTTGCTGGTGAAGAAATTAAGACCCTAAGAAGGGAATCAGTTTAGTCAACTCTTAAACTCTCCACATTTGGGTGTGATTCTGCTTTTTCTCCTGGCCCAAATGCTTCACAATCTCCAGGAAAACATCCAGACACCCTAGAATGGCATGTAAGTGCAATAATAAGCAGCCTACTCTCTGTGTACAGCTTCCTAAAATCCATTCTTTATTCATTTTCTACTTACTCTGAATCACTCTAGTTCCTCAAATGCATAGCACATACTGCCTTTTTTTTTTTTTTTTTTTTTGGCTTGGTAAGATTCATTGAGGGTATAACCTTTCTTTGCGGACCACCACTTCCACGACTACCATATTGCATGCCTGCTGGGATACAACCCCTTGGAAGGGCATGTAAAACACTCCTCTCTAGAAGTATGAAACATAGTTGGATTTCCAGAGACTTAAGCTTATCCTTACCATAGCTTTCTTCTCTAGCTGCCAGGCTTGTTACCTTTTGGGATCATCCCCACAAAATAGCTTTTAGATGAAATAAAATAGAAAGAAAAAAAATGTTGTTTGGGAATTAAGGGAAATTTGGATTCAAATATTTACTCATATACTCAATAACTGAAACTTGAGCAAATCATTTATTTGAAATTCAATGTTCTTATTTAAAATGGGGACAGCAATGCCTACTTTATCGTAGGATACCCACTGTTATTATTTTATAATAACATTTATAAATCTTTAGCATATGTCTATACAATTAAGTATTCTATAACATCCATTTTGTATAATTTTTAACATGCCAGCTGAAGACTCATGAGTGTTCAATAGATAAATTAATTATTTATTGTTATTGTCGCTGTGGAGGGCAACCCTGAGTTATGTTAAAATTTTAATTTTTCCTGCCACAGAGCAGACATGCAGATTTTTTGTTGAATAAATTGATGAGTGAGACAGGGCTGTTGATTAATCTATGAATGTTGTGGTCTCCAAACTGGGTACACTCACTACAATTCTGGCAAAGAATTTTACTGGAAGAAAATGCAAGTATCAAATAGTATTCAAGCAGAAAAGAAAAAGCTTCCTCAACTGAAATAAGTTGATAATTTGACTTGTAATTGCCCCCTGCAATTTGGAGGAGCACATGTTTCTTATAATTAACAGGCATTTATTTTTAGGGATGTCATTTGAGCAGCAAGCAGAACAATGTCTCTATTTCTTTCATTCCAAATCCTCAGAGGCCACTGGAATCCTAAGGCTTAGCAGTGCTCATTCCCACAGGTGAATAGGTCTATAATTTGTCATTTACCTCAGCTTTCAGAGTCTGTAAGGATCAGGAAGGAAAAAATAACAGCTTTTATCTCTAACTGAATCCAGCATTTAAGGAACTCCTGTCACCAAGCAGCCTTCTGGCTTTATTGAGAAATCTGTTGCTAAGACACAGGCTTAATTTGTTTGCACACTTTTCATAAGAATGGTGCATGTTTATTCACACAGAAAAACTGAGATGTAAGAGATAAAGGTTGGTGGAAAGTTCATAATGGTAGATGATTAGACCTTAAACAGTTATTTTGTTGGATCTTTTAGAAAAGAGGGTTTCTGAAGTATGGTCTTGGGACCAGGACCATCAGCCTCACATTGGCATTTCTTAGAAAGACAAATTCTTTAGCCCGACTCAGACTTACTTGAATCACGGAATTGCTGGTGCAAGTTTCTGGTATCTGCTTTTCCAAGCCCTCCATGTTATTCTGATGCATGTTGATATATGAGACCCATTGTCATGTAACATAGATTAGAACATCATCGAAATCTCATCCATCAATGGGTTGTAAAAATGAGACTATTCTTCCTCTGCTGGAAAGCCATGACTTAATCTTAGCCAGGGAAGAGGACACTCAATTTTTCAAAGGCACCTCATAACTCCTCATTGTACCTTCCTAATCTGATAACTCAGATCAAATATGAACACAATATTAGAATATTAGTGCACATGATGCCCAAGTAACAAATAGGGTATAAACCAAAAGAATCAAAAGGGTTTGCTAACAAATAATATGTAACCCAGGAAATTGATGCCAGAATGGAGTCTTGGAGTCCTTTACTAATAAGGATAGACCATACTGTTAGATTTGGGCAGACATCATGGATAAAAGTACATAATCTAGAGCTAATTTGTCAGCTTGAGCAACTGGTTTTGACTTCACAGATTAATCCTCTGATTCTCAACCTTCCTAATGCTGTGACCTGTTAATACAGTTCCTCATGTTGTGGTTACTCCCAATCATAAAATTATTTCATTCCTATTTCATAATTGTAATTTTGCTAGTGTTAAGAATCATGATGTAAATACCTGATATGCAGGATAGCTGATATGTGACCCCTATGGAGGTTGCTACCCATAGGTTGAAAACCACTGGCTTAATCAGTCACATGACTGGCACCTTTGCTCAACATTCACCTACATTTAGTCAGACTGAGATGCTTGATCTTCCTTGGCATAGGGAGAAATGAAGGCTTAGGAGATGGGTCCTGTGCTTCATTTATCTTGTGATACCTATACCTATCTTCTGTCTGTAAGGGGAGACATTCACGAAGGCACTAACAATGCACCAGTAAAGGGAGCATTTTCATCCTTGAAAAAACTCCAAAGTCCTTCTACACTGAAGGCCATGTCTGTAGCAGACACCACTATTTACATAGATCTTTGATTTGAATGGAATGTGGAATCCCAAAGTAGAATAGTAAAGAAGTAGGCTTAACCATCAAAGACAACACAGGTGCATCAGCCATCACATGTCTTTACTCAATATTTCCCACATCTAAATTATTATAGATACTCCATAATCCCTTTGCCTAGGTTTGTATCATACACACATTTTACAGATTTACTTTTCCTTTTTTTGAGACAGGGTCTCATGCAAGCCTCGTCTGACCTCAAATTCTTTGTGTGGCTAAGAGATGTCTGAATTCATGAGTCTCTTGAATTCATCTTGGCTCCATCCACCAAGTGCTAAGGTTATAGATGTGTGTCACCATACCTGGCCACACTTGAGCTTTTAATTCACTGTTTCTATACTTAAAATGGGTATTTTTGTAGACAGTAAAGTTAGGTAAACTGGCTTATCTAATCTGATATTATCTTTTAGTAAACATTTAATGATTCATATTATGTATGTGGTTGAAATGAAATTTATCATTACGCTCAATGTTTTGTATGTGTTTCATTTGTTCATAGAGATTTCAATTATGCTTAATCTAGCAAGTACTCTTGAGGATATGATTTATATCTTTGATTTTTACTTATGCACCTTGAAATAATTTCATGTTCACCCCATTGTTCATTTATCAATCTTAAAGAATCAGAATCTACCTTCAGTTAATATGTTGCCTCTTGGGCACTCTACTAACTAGGTAAAGTATATTGACTTTTCTCATATTTTATATTGCACTGTTACATTTACTTTCACATGTGCTACAGCTATTCTCCACATTAATATTCTCTATATTACTACCCCTGTGTATTAGAATGCCATTTACATGTTACTGAAGTTAAAATCAAGAAAATATTTTCTTTACTATTACATGTTTTTCTTTTCTCTGATGCTTTTTCATTACATTCACTGATAGTGACTGTACTTTGGGAGACCACAGTGATTTGGGGTTCTAAAAACTTCTGTGTCAGGGAAGGATATCTGTATGGCCTCCAGGGGGGCATATTTTTATATTCTTCAATGACCTTTTCCTGTAGCTAGAGTTTTCCTGCCTGGCCCACAGTCAGGACAAATTATCTTTTGGGAATCATCTTTTGCATTTCATAATTTTTCTTAATTATTAACATATTTTTCTGGATTTTCCACCACTGACTGCTTTCTTGTAACTTGCTAAGAAAACATGGGAAAAGAATGTATTTCCCCTCCACACTGATGAGGTTAGCCATGTAACTTTCTTTGATCAATGTGAGCACATAGATATTTGCTTTGTTTTTTAGGAAAATCTCTAAGAGCTAAAACAGGAATCCACCTTCACTGTGACTTTACCCTTTGTCACAAACTAGCATGTCCCAAATGAGGGTTTCTCCCTCAGCTTAAACCCTAGGGTAAAGTTATATAGTGTAGCCTCATGGCTCACCTGTAGCATGAATTAAAAAAAATAAAGTGAGTTTGGAAAACCATTGAGTTTGAGGGGTCATTCTTTTTCACGTCAGAATCTGGAGAAGAATCATAGTGATTCTCCTTTATACATTGGATCTAGTTCCTTACAATGAGTCTTGTCTATTTACTTTTCAGTTTTTAAATTTTTCATATATATATTTTCCTAACTGCTGTTCTTCCTCTCATTTCTGTCTAGGTCCCTACCATAGGGGAATTTTTCAAAAGAGCTAATCATGACACACATTTCTTTGCATCCTGTTCCCTCCTAGGAGACCTGCCATCTACCTTCTTCCCTGAGAGCTTTGCCAATGCAACTGTGCTGGAGTCATCACCATTCCCACATGGCTGGTCACTCTGAGTAAACAGCATCTTTCTGACAACTTGGACATTTCAAACATGTAAAAGACCAGTGCACTATCCCGCATTTATTTTCTCTTTTCTGTGACTTATTGTAGGTCTTCTGCGATTTCCATGGTCACTCCCAAAAGAAGAATGTATTCCTTTATGGTTGCAGCATGAAGGAAACTCTGTGGCAAGCAGGCTGCACTGTGGGTGGAGCTGCCCTCCTGGAGGATGTCAGCTACAGAGTAAGTCACTCTATTGGATAGTATGGTATATTGTGACCACAACTTTACTGCGAGTACCCATTACCACTCACCTTTGTTTCTAGACAGATGCTTTACCACTGACTTATACTTTTAGTTCCCATTCATCTTTTTTCTCTTAAAATAACTGTCTTGATGATTATGCCCATATAGTTATAATGTAAGCGGAACATTTGTGTTGAATAATGTCACACTATCTGGTAACTTTATTTTTTGTCTTCTCTATGGCACAGGGAATTGGTGACAAGAAGCTTTATTTTAACAACTTGGTTTATAATTATTAACTCTGTGAATTTTCATTCTGCCACTTATAAAATAAAGACAGTAAAAGTACTGTTTCTTTCACAAAAATTATGCGAGGAATACAATGATCCTGAACACAAAAACCTTAAGAAAATATGAAGGGATGAGTACACCCAAGGCTTTAGTCAACTACCATCTCTCTGCATGAACATTCTTTGACAAATGGATAGTTATCCACTGAACCTAATTTTATGCTATGTGGACTCCAGTGGTATGAGCCGCTGTATAGTCACACTACAATAAAGAGGAAGTTAAGGAGGGAAACCAAGAGGGACCATTCCACGTCAGGATAACATAACTGCTTGTAGGGCATCAAGAAGAGATTTAAGTTGCAAAGCTGTCCAAATGCAAAATAAAGTCTAGCCTTTGTTTCAAAATTATGAAGAAAAACAAGAATATGATGATACCAAGTTCTTGTAAATCTTTTATTATTCTGAGTATCACAATTACACAAATTACACAAAGTAGATTCATCTCTAAGGCTAATGATGACATTAAAAGAGAAATTAAAACCTACCAATCTGAATAGGAGTAGTGGCTCATGGGTTTAATCTTAGTACTAGAAGGCTGAAGTTGAAAGATACTGAGTTGAAGACCAGCTTGGGCTACACAGTGAGACCCACGCTCAAACAAAAAACAAATCAAAAGTAAATAAAACAACCAACAAGCTGGGCAGTGGTGGGGCACGACTTTAATCCCAGCACTCGGGAGGCAGAGGCAAGCGAATCTCTGTGAGTTCGTGGCCAGCCTGGTCTACAGAGTGAGTTACAGGAAAGGCACAAAGCTACACAGAGAAACCCTGTCTCAAAAAACAAAAACAAAAACAAAAACAAAAACCCAACCAAACAAACAAAAGTCAAAATGAAACAAAATGAACCAATTCTCAAACAAACAAACAAACAAACAAAACAACATAAAAGAAGCAAACAAATATTCACCAAATTAACCTCACCTGGAAATATTTTCCTTGTGTTTTTCTTTAACTAGAGCCATTGACATATACTTCTGCTGATTTTTTTCCCTAAGACATTTATAGCAGAACCAAGAACATTTCCTCAGAAATCTATTAGTTCTAAGTCTTAACCATGTCAACAGTGGCAGACTACCAGAAGCCAAATGAATTGTATTACTTAGGAAATATGAGGACGTTCACCTGGGAAGCTCATGCCGAACTGTGAAGAATGATCTCATATACATAATGCAGGTGGATATAAAATGTATTATTCAATTTTATGGAGAGTCAGTATGGATTTTATCATGTCTTTACCTAGAAAAGGTAACAATATTCATGGACAATTCTTTACATAAAGTGAGAAGAAACAGAACCTTAAGGTTCTTCAATACAAAGAGAACATCACATTGAACAGAGGCTGTGTGCACATCTGTTCTACTTCTCCTTTGCTGTGTTAAAATACCTCAACCAAAGCAATTTCAGGGACACAGGGTTTTCATATCTCACAGTTTGAGATACAGTATTTCATGATAAGAAGTCAAGGCAGCAGAAGTTTATAGTCACATTACATTAATAGTCAGGAAGCAGTGAGAAGATAAATAACTTGTAATTAGCTTATGGCAATTTTATACAGTCCAGGATCCTAGCCTAGAGAATGGTCCCACTCACAGTGGGTCAGTCTCCTCACCTCAATTAATTGAATCAAGAGAATTCCCTACAAGAATGGAGGAATGCTCAAAAGCCCACATTCCAGCTGATTCTGTACCTCATCAAGTTGACAATTGAGATTAACCATCTAAATGACCAATTACAGAGTGTGTTCTTATGTTCTGTATACCAGTTTTATTGTATGATTATGTTATTTATGTTATGTTATATTAGTTAATTAACGCAACAAATATTTTGAGCTCAGTTTTGTGTCAAGTAAAGCAAACGATATGATCAGGGAGAGATAGGCAAACCACAGCTTCTGCCTCTGAGAGCAAGTTCAGTAGTGTTTGATGGCAATGAAATTAAAATATTAGTCCTTCTGTGCACTGATAGACACCTTTCAGAGTCATTATTTTAGTTTGGTCAGTTGCCCAAGTCTCAGTTTTCTCCCTTGTAAAATGATAAAATCAGAGCTCATAAGAAATTTATAAAACTGATTTTTTTGATGCTCTGGAGTTCTTCAAAATTTATTCATGGGCTATTAAGCAATGTATGTAAGGAGAAAAGTGGGTAATGTTCAGCTTCTTCCCTCACTTTTTGTTCTTAACAGCCTTGCTTTGCAGTTCCTGATTAATATGTATCTCTTTCCACCATTGGTACTTTAAATCTAATCTATAAATAATGAATTTGATTTTGGTGTTTATCCTAAAATAGGTTTTGTATGTGTGCAAATGGATCTTTTCAGAATTGAGAGGGCTCATTTACTTTGTCATGAGGAGATGGAGACCTTGGAAAGACCTTCTATGCAAGACATGTTTATAGTCCTCTCATTTGCCAGAAGTCACAGCCTGAGAGTGTATTTACATATCAAATAGAGCAACTCAATCAGAGGAATTTTGTCCTTTAATATTAGTGTCAAAATGACAAACACATTTCATACTCACTCAAAATATTTATTCATCTTTATTAATCAACCATATTGGGACGTCTAGTTGTATTACTAAAAACAGGTCAGTGAATACATTCTGCAAAACACAAATATAAAAAAGGATAACATTAACAAAAGTTGTAATTTTCAACCTCTGGAACTTGGCCAAATACAGTTGGAGAAATTTCAGTCTTGAAAACTCCTAGATTTTTGTGCAGGAACTCCCCAAATATGACTTGCTTAATGGGGTTTCTTTAACCATTTTTAAATTTATTCATCAATATACATACAACTCAGGGATAGGCATGGCAGCAACATGTTTGGTCTCAGTACGGCTGAGGCAGGAGTATGGAAGGCTTAAGACTACATGAGCTAAATAGTGAGGTCGCATGTCAAAGCAAAGCAGAACAAAATGAAACAAAAATAAAAGAGCAACTTAAAAATGTCAGCAAGTAATGGGAGAGACAAAGTCCTAACTAGATATCTCTTGCCTCCAAATGAAACCTCCAGTTCTGGAAATGGGTTACACCTAATTGAGTTTCCGGCCAAAGTATTCCATTGGGAACCCCCAAACAACCCATGCTAATGCAAAAGCTATTGTTTGCTCTCCACAAACTGATGGTAAGGCTTGATTGCTGGAGACAACACCTATACAATGCATTGAACATGGACAAGTCAACTTGATGCCTAAATAAGCCTTCATCCCTTCAGATTAATGTTCATGGTACTGGAGGGTACTCTGCACTCTGCCAAAACACCCACCTCACTACAAATCATGCAATTTACAGTGGTAACCTGCCTGCAATATATGTGAGTGCAACAGTGGCACAAAACTTGTGGAGTAACCATCCACTATCTGGTTGGATTTACAGCTACTCATGAGATGGAACCCATGGCTGACATTGCTTGAATCTGGGTGGCCAAGAATCTGGGACTAGATGTGACATTTCAGAAAACCAAATACTGTTCTGCTACAGGAAAAAAAAAAAAAAAAAAAAAAAAAAAAAAAAAAAGACTCCTAAGGGCATTCTGTTATATTCATAGATCAGAGTCTTGCTTAGCCACTATAGAGAAGTTTCCTACTGCAGTATATGGGAACAAATACAGAGACTCATAATTGGACAATGTGCAGAGTGTTAGAGACCTCGAAACACTTACTAAAGGAGATATCTCCATCAAATTATCCCCTCTGGGCTCAGGGAACTCTTCTGGAGAAGAGATGGAATGATTATAAGAGCCAATGGGGGGTAAAAGACACCAAGGAAACAAGGGCTTCTATACAAAACAGGACTGAGGCACATATTAACTTCCAGAGACTCTGAAAGCATGCAAAGGGCCTGCATAGAGAGAAGCCTAACTGGGGTCCCATACTGAAGGGGGAAGTGGATACAAGCACGGACTCCTAACCCCCAAGCTATCTCCAATTGATAATTACTCGCAACAGAAAAATTACTTTTCTCTAATGGAGTCTCACTGAGTATACAAACCACACTTAAATGCAGGCCATCTACTCCATGCCAAGCAGTGGATGGCTGTCATAAAATGAACTCACTGGTATTTTGGGGGGATTTTTGTCTCACAATGTTTTACAAGTTTTTTTTTTTTTTTTAGACCTTATAGGTCGTTTGCTTATATAGTATGGTTTCCAATTTTGTATTCGGTGTATACAAATCTGTGTGTCTTTGTATCTCTGTGTGTTTCTTATGCTCTTTCTTTAGCTTTTTGTTATTATTTATTTTGTCTGATTCTGGTTTGTTTGTTTTTATTGTTATTGTTTAAGATATCTGCTTGTTTCCTAATAAGAATGAGAAAGGGTGTAGCTTTGTTTGGGTGGGGAGGTGGGAAAGGATGTAACTTTGGTTGGGGGAGGGGACACCGTAATGAGAGTATAGTGTATAAAAATCTATTTTAAATTAAAAAAAAAATGTCAGGATAAGGACAGTCACACATATTGTCTCTCTTCCACATACTCGCATATAATCAGAGCTAGAGATAAAAAGATGGAGCAGCAGGCCGGGCATACGCCACAAGAGCTGGATGTGAGAACAAAAAAAAAGACTAATATATTGCATATATATAATCTGGGATTATGGAAAAATACGTGTATGTGAAGAGAAGAATTCAGAGAAACCAGAGAATAGAAAAAAA